CAATTTTCGTCGTCAGACTACAGTCCTTCCGACCTCCGTCGCCAGCCGTCTACAGTCCTCCTGACTTATGTCGCCCGCCGACTACAATCTTTCCGACCTCCGTCGCCCGCCGACTACTGTCCTCTTGACTTACGTCGCCCACCGACTACAGTCCTCCGTCGCCAGCTGACTACAGTCCTCCTGACCTACGTCGCCCGCCGACTGCAGTCCTTCTAACAAAGCGAATACGTCGATAGTAGCTCTTTGTATTTACATCATGTAATGTACTCCATAAGATGTATATCAAGCTAAGGCCTTCTCCCAAGGAAGGGCCTCATTTGTAATCGACTGCGAATACTAGTGGATTCGTTCAAACTGGGCTAGGCCCCGTGGTTTTCCCCCTTTTACAGGGGTTTTCCACGTAAAAATCTTGGTGTCTCATAAATGCTAGACCCTCTCTCCTTATCTGATTGCGTGCCAGATTTTCGTACAATGCTAAGACGATAAACTTTATATTTCTCTACCGCCGCGAATACTCCTGGACGCAACACATCCCAATTTCGACGTTTTTTTTTCTCTTAAAAAAAAAATATGCACTGTTGTAGTGAAAATATATATATATATATTGGATCTGTTAAGAGAATAAGAATTAAGAAGTACGGTCAAGTAGAATTTATTTTACTGGCTCTGACGGCAGGCAAAACATAATTACAATAAGTGCAGTGAAAGGTGCGAAATGCTGAGGGGGGGGGGAAGAACTTTGAATTAATTAAAAGGCTCTGAAGTTAGCTGGGTGGCTGACAATTAAGTATCATCAACTGTATCAATGGTGAGGACACCATTTGTCCCTTGTCGCCAGCCTCACACCTTTCCAGAGAGCATTTAAAGCATAGAACCCCGCAGCTGCATGATCACTTTCATATAGCTCCAGCAGCACCACTACTCTCAGCTATCCGGCCGGATCGATCGATAGATAGATTACATGGGTGCCCATGATGATCATGACCAACCTCTTCCGGCCAGCTCCACATTAGTATTCCCTCCCATAGAGAAATGTAGCTCTGAAGGGAGATCTAACCAATCGGTGGCCGCCGATCTGGACGGCACGATGCTCATCTCTCGTAGCGCTTTCCCTTACTTCATGCTTGTGGCAATTGAAGCCGGGAGCCTCTTGCGAGGAATTCTCCTCTTGGCCTCCGTCCCTCTTGTCTACATCACTTATATTTTCTTCTCGGAATCACTTGCTATTCACACCCTCATTTTCATTTCCTTCGCCGGCCTCAGGCTTCGGGACATCGAGACGGTTGCTCGATCCGTGCTACCAAAATTCTACGCCGAGGATGTGCATCCGGAAGGGTGGAGGGTCTTCAGCTCATTTGGGAGGAGGTATATAGTTACTGCGAATCCTAGAGTTATGGTGGAGCCATTTGCAAAAACATTTCTTGGGGCTGATAAGGTGATCGGTACCGAGCTGGAGGTCAGCAGCTCCGGTAGGGCCACCGGTTTTCTCAAGAAGCCGGGGGTTCTTGTTGGGAATTTTAAGAGGGCGGCTTTAGAACGCGAGTTAGGTGCCGCAAATGATTCTTCGCCGGATGTGGGGATTGGAGATAGACCCACCGATTACGACTTCATTTCCGTTTGCAAGGTCAGTACGCCCCCTAAACAAAAGAATTTTCTCCCACAGACCACACCTGTTGTTTCGGGTTGTTTATGTATGCTGCTCATTATCTTCAACCTCAGTTAATATAGCATTCAATATCAAATTTTTGTCCCACCGAGGATTTATCTATTATGAGTCAAATTTTAATTTAAATCTAACAAAAATTAAGAGATCATTTATAATATTTTTTTTTTTTTGGGACATTTAGGCCATTTAAGGCAAACTCACACACACAACGCATACACAAAGACTCGAATTCTGAACCTCTTAATTGGAAGCCTAAGCTCTCAACCAATAGGCCAAAGAGAGTTGTGTCATTTATAATACTTCATAATAAATTCTTTTATATCTACATCTATCTCGTTTAATATAATAAGTATGATATTATTCATTTATTCTCCTATTCAAATCATCGGAAGGCCAACTTTTTATAAGATCAAACTATCTAAAACAATTATCTTTAATTGCCACTTGAGCTACTCCAACTTTTTCTTTTCATGTATATACTTGTACGGTATATAGAATTTAAAGGATTAAGATTAAAAAGATAAAATCTAAACTAATTCATTAATATTTAACTATTTACTTGTTGAAAAGCTTTTTTAATCTTTATTTTCAAAACAAAAGTTGGTGTTGAATTAATAAGTGTATTTTTTTTCTTGAATAAAATATTGTTAATGAAAAATATTAATTAATGTTTTAATAATTATTTATTTTGATTATTTGCTTACATAATAGAAAAGAATAGAGATCATTAAAAAAAATAAATAATCTTCGGCTGAAGATGAAATGTCTTATACGATTTGATCGGTAAAGTTTTTGATAGATACAATAAAAAGCACCAAAAAACATGTATTTGAAGCATTTGATTATTTATGTGTTCGGATTAAATTCATCTATACAATGTCATGTGTCGGGCATCACACATTTTTGAAGCAAAATGATGGATATGTACTTAATGATGGAAAGATTTCGATCATTAATAACATTTTCAACATAAAATTAAACTTTATAAATTCTCAAATGAGCAATAATTAATAACTTGGAATGCCATTCCGTAGAGTTTAAACAGAAAAGATTATTGATCAAAATATTAAATTTTATAATTTTTTAATTTGTTGCTTCTTCAATTTCAAAATTATAGATATTAATATATCTTCTTAATATATCTTCTTCAATTCAAGTTCAAGTAAATATTTTTTCTATTTAATAATTCATCTTATATATATAAGATAAACTTTAGTTTCTATTTAATAATTCATGCTTATGGTCATATTTCAAATATGGATAGTTGATTTTATTTGATGATACCATCATAATTTATGATAATATAGAATTAAGAAAATCATCCACGTCAATGATAAAAAATTCATCTAGTAGGTGATCATTATTCTAAATAGTGATAAATCCGTTTTGATCCTTAAGAATGTCATAATAATATATTGTTTATCTATATTAAAAGACAAGGTTAAAAGAGAGAGAAAGAGAGGGAGAGAGAGAATTTCCTTCCTTATTTCTTCTCATCAATCTATATTAAAATTAAGGAGAGAAATAAGAATTGCAGATGTGGAGGAGGCATGGACAATTGGACATGATTAATGGAGATGACAAGTCGGTTACTTGCCTGCAGCTTTCAATTAGTTTCCATCGTGGAAATAAATGCAGCAAGCTGGCTGATCAAATTATTCTGAGTTTGTCAAGTGAGAACTTAAAGTGCTGCAATAAGTTGTGCACCAAACCAAACGGCCTGCGGGCCCCTAGTAGCAAGCTAGCTAGGTCCCAAGGACAAATGGAGGAATTGAACGGCTCTCCAATCCAATTACGCAACTAGACGATCCATGCACGCTTGCTCTTAATTTTCTATTGATTTCGGGGCTAGCTGAATTTCTATCATAAACTTTACTGCACTATATTTAATTATTTATATATATTATTTTGAGATAATTAATTAACTAATTGAAAACAAAATGGCGCAGGAAGGATATTTGGTGCGGGCAAGTAAAAATCAAAGCCCGGTCCCACGTGACAAACTTCTGAGCCCAATCATCCTCCACGACGGCAGGCTCGCCCAGCGGCCGACTCCGCTTGTCGCTCTTCTGACTTTTCTGTGGATGCCCGTGGGGTTTGCCCTCTCCCTCATCCGCGTCTACGTAAACATCCCTCTTCCGGAGCGCATCGTCTACCACAACTACAGGCTGATGGGCATCAAGCTGATCGTGAAGGGCACCCCACCGCCCACCGATCCCAAAAAAGGACACAAAGGCGTTCTCTTCGTCTGCAACCACCGCACCGTCCTCGACCCAATCGTCACCGCCGTCGCCCTCCGCCGCAAAGTCAGCTGCGTCACATACAGTATCAGCCGTTTCTCAGAGCTCATCTCCCCGATCAAAGCAGTTGCTCTTACGCGCGAACGCGACAGGGACGCCGAGCACATCAAAAAACTGCTCGAGGAGGGGGACCTCGTCATCTGTCCCGAGGGGACCACCTGCCGCGAGCCTTTCCTGCTGCGCTTCAGCGCGCTATTCGCGGAGCTCACCGACAGGATCGTTCCCGTAGCCATCAACACGAAGCAGAGCATGTTCCACGGCACATCGGTTAGGGGATGGAAGCTGCTCGATCCTTATTTTTTCTTCATGAATCCGCGCCCCACATACGAGATTACCTTCCTCAACCAGCTGCCTAGAGAGCTCACTGTCGCGGGCGGGAAGTCGCCCATCGAAGTCGCCAACTATATACAGCGCGTACTATCCGCCACACTCGGCTTCGAGTGCACTTCCTTCACACGAAAGGATAAGTACATTATGCTTGCTGGCAATGATGGCCGCGTCACCACCTCCTCCTCCTCCTCCTTCAATAAGCATGCTGCAGGTGACAATATCAGAGAAGGCCCCGACGTCGTCCGCAGTTAACTCATTCATCCGTCGCAGCAAGACATTTAATTTCGATCAGGACTATATATATAATTGCATTTCTTCTTCAATCGATCACTTTGTCAGCCTGTCCAGCTGCTTCATTCCAATATTTATGCCTGCATTTATTAATATTTGTCATCCATATTGATCTGCATCTGAGATCATACATAGTTAAGATTTGTGATTTTAGCGTACTACCTACTATATTTTCCAAGGATATATAAATGGAGATCCATGCAGGTGCGACCGGCTTTTTTTTTTTGTTCCAATTAGTTAGTCATCATCAAACAATTAAAAAAAAAAATTCAAATTATTTTATTTACAAGTTGCAAGGGACAGAGTATCATAGAGGGACATTAACATGCACTTCAATCTGCCTTACAAAGATGAAAGAACAACCTAAAAGAATAGTAGTTTGCCATGTAAAAGAACTTAGAAAGAAGAAAATTGATTATGCCAAAGTACAACGCATCTTGAAAGATATTCAACATAGATAAAATTGAGATAGGATAATTTTGCTTGCTTATTCCAAAGAATTGAATGCAATGTATGTAAAATTTTTTAAGATTAATTTTTTATGATGGAGGATAGTGATAACTCCAAATTTTAATTTTAACATTATATATATGTATATTAACTATATAAAAAAATGATGAATGAAATAGTGTGTTAAATCACATATTGTCTGATTGATGATATGGGCAAGTATTTTATGAAAACTTGCTGACGTCAGCTTGAAGCTGGTGCAAAATTGCTCTATTGAGATGAGAAGAGGCAAGTATCTACAATGTGTGATCAAGAAAAAGGGAAGGCTTAAAGCAAAAAGGCAATTTGGTGTCACCCATTTGAGGCGAGAAGAGGCGAGTAATGTTTTGATGGGGCCTTCGGATTGACCCAATTATGAGAGATGCCTGTAAAGACAATATATATGTGAAAATAGTTGCTTGATGTATCTGGCATCAGAGTTTTCATTCTAGCCGAAAAGAATAAAGATCTGTCTGATTGGAGGAGATTCTGAGGTAGCCTTCGTTGACAGGGAAGGACGGCTTCCTAGAAGAGGTGGTTAGAGTTGGTCTACTGTGCTCCAGTTTTAAGCTCCTTCCCATCTCTTGAATCGCTACAGTAAAAACTCGTATTTCTGGTGGCCTAAATCCACCATAAAACTAGAAATTCTACCATAAATTTTGTATTTCATGCGGATTGATGGGAAAATTTGGGTCATGCGGTAAAACGAGCATCGAAAATATTGTTTCAGTGGAAATTTTCCACCGGAGATACTTCCGACAGATTTATCGACGGACATTAGGCCGAATTGTGCAGCTAAAATCGTCATTCGCAAATAGCTCTTCCCAACAATTTGTCTGATGAAATTTTTGGCAAAATTATACCACCGAAAATACCGGCAAACAAACCGCCAAGAAGTTTCATCGGGAACTAACCGGCGGACATGTTCGACAGTTTATCCTCTGGTATTTCCAGTAGAATTATCTTATCATAAAAACAATACTATTTCATCAAATCTTCATTTATTTGCAAAAATTCCACAGGTAATCAGCCGAAAATTTGTATCAGAAAGAAAAAAAATAGCTCTCCCTCACATGTTTTCTTCAACATAACAATCCTGCATAAACTATATATATACACATATCTTTTTCACATTCAAATATTGAACATAAACATAGTAATGCTACATATATGTAATAACAAATTTGATCACAAAAGAATATTGAACAATCACCAAACAGTTTAAAAATAAACATAGAGTTTGTTGCATAATAAAAAATGGATAATGAAATATAAAAACATATAAATGAAATGTCCAACATATAACTAAAATGTCCAATAATAAGAAAAAGTCAAATCATTCTCCTTCTTTGCTAATGTTGGTTGCTTTCCACTGAACTACTCCCTTAATTTCTACAACTCGTCCAATAACTAACTTTACTGCATCTGCATGTTAGGTTGTGAATTTCTAACTTAATCTAGCTCTGTTATAAGGGCTGCCACCTGTTAATTATACAATAACTCCTTGCTGATTGCTGAGAAGCTAGAGCCACCAGATGTTTATCCCTAGTACGTGTAGGCTTGCGAGCTTAAACCATATACCTCGCCTTTCTATATTCCACCTACCTCTTGGGACCAATTGCGATAATTAGAATAATCTGCTGATCCCCTAAAAGATCTCGGACTTATCTGTTCTAGCCTGTCTCTCTCAAAGTTTTATATACTCTTCATATAAAAGTTAACATAAGATTAATCAATTTATTATGAAACTTAAAACTTTAAACTGATATACTCACGTAGGCTTTTCTTTGCTAGCTCATTAACCCATTACTAGACCTTCTGCCATTTGTAGGTATGATTATATAACTCAACAACGGTCAGATCTCTACCCAACAACTTTCTCTGTAATACACTTACATTAATATTCATAACTAAATAAATTTTTAAAATTTCTCACCAAACATCATCTGTGTTCAGTGTGTGGAAGTGAGCCCCCAATATAGAGGGAACTATCCATGCCCCCAATATTATAAGCTTAGTTCTGTCTATTTTGACCCCTCTCCTTTGGGTATAATCTGGGATGCCCCAATGTAAGATCCAAAATTCATGTAATAAATCTAAAATTTTATTTTAAAAAAATTATTATCTTATTCTAATAATTAATTACTATTAAATTAGAAATAGTAATTATTAAATAAAATTAAGTATTTCTTAATATCCTTTTCCAAATAAATGCTTAAATTGATTGGGAGGAATTCAATTATGTATTTGTGTGTGGGCCCTCTCTCTCATTTATCCATATGGAATTCCCTTATCTGATCTATTTTCACGCAAGCCAACAGAGGAATTGGATGATGCACTATAGAAAGAATCGGCACAGTTCTCTTCAGTGAATTCACAGAAAACACTGTAGAAGAATTCGCTACAGTGAATTCTAGCAGATTTCGACACAGTGAAGGCTGAGGCAAGTAAAAGTTTGGGAAAAATTATAACAATTATCAGTAAAGGAAAAATTCTGAAAAAGTGCAAGATAATTGAAGGAATAGTAATTTTGGAGTAAGAAACAAAAGAAAGTTAAGAGGAATAGGAAGAAGAAGAATGAATATGGAAGAAAGAATGATGTAAGAAATTATAAGGTTTTTTATTATCTTTTACATTTTCTAACGTCAATAAAGTTCTAATGACGATAATTCTAATTGTATTTTAGGATTTATCAGTTATATGCAGAAGAAAGAGTACGAGGTAAATACTTATATTAGTAGAAATTTATTATAGACACTTTAACTGAATGATAAATTGTAGAAGTCATAGAATTGGAGAGGTGATTGTAGATGACTTACAAACATAGATGAGTAAGAAACAGAGAACTGAAAGAGGTAGTTCGTCAAAGAGGTAAGTTTTTCCATTATAAATTACAAAAGTAAATGTTAGAAATTCTTGATACATGCAATATTAATTAATTCATTTAAAAGGTTAATTGTGTTAAGATAATTTCAAATTATGGAGTATGAAAATGCATCTCATATGCATTGCATGAATAAACAAATTCATATCCATATAAAGACTTGCAAATGAAAATCAGATAAAGCATGCTTGTTTAATATAATGAAATTAAGCATGCTTCCAAGTTTTCATGTATGATTAACCACTTGCATAATTTAATTATGTGAGTTTAAATTAAGGTTTACTATATTCATTTAAATATTTTTCTAAATACTAATATTTTGGAAATATGTTGATTTCCTTACTTGTTGTATGCATATTCTTTTTATACAGATATAACTTAAATTTTTATGAAAGTATGCAACAACATAAGTATAGCTTATGCATATGAAAAGTTTAATGAATATCAATTTAAATAAAATTTGGTTATAAATTGATGCACAATTTATCAATATAGGTGGGGCAAAATGATCCTCGTGTAATAAATCACATTATAAGTAGGACAAAATGGATCATAAAGACAAGAGACGGGCATAGCAGTTGGGACAAAAGGGACCCCTAAAGAGGTAAAATGGCCCTCTATGTAATTCAATGGTAATAATGTATGCTTTACTTTGGCTCTATTAAATGTTTTTATGAAAGTGTAGCCAAATCTTTTAAATATTAAAAGTGATATTCATTATAAACTTCAAAGGAAGTAAATGGTAATGTCATTTGGGATGTTATGATATTTTATAAATAATATAAAGTTTAATTTATTTATGTTTTTAATGTTATAAATTTTATAATCATGCAAGTTAATTGCTATTTAAATTTGTATAACTTATTAAGCCTCATAACTCACTAGTGCTCTTTTTACTAGTGAACTTGAATTCAAATTATTAGTTTTATATGTTAATGTTTGTCTATATTTGTGAGTTTATATTTGAGGTATGTAGACAGTTCATTAAATTATTATTTTTTATTTTTTTAGTGGCTCTATACTCAGAAGTGTTTGTTTTGATGTAATTGGATACATATTAGATGCTTCCATTTATGTATGAAAACTAAAATTATTAGATGTTTTATTAAGATGGCTAAAAAACATTATGTTTATGCATGTGATATTCTATGATACTGTTAAGGGGTATTGTGGGATGTTACACCCAAGCACTGGTCAACTCGGCCTATACACTCTCACCAATCTGGATTGGTCGCTCGCCTGACTTCCTAATGTCTGTAAATATATCTCGCATGTGAGTCGACCTGCACTTCTCAAAATTCTTTTTAATTTTATCATTGTGCTCAAGCAAACAATAAAAATATTTCTACATACAAAAATATACAATATAAATATTGCATCGCATCTAAGTTATGTCTGATCAAGTTTGCTCTCCAATATGATAAGGGCTAAAAAATATTTTTTTTGATCTAATTATGGTTGACTCTATACCCTAGCAATTTATAACCAACTATTATTGGAGAATCAACTATCGTGGGCATGCACCTTGCTCTGAGATGAAGCTAGGCAGTTGACAGATTGTCTGGATAAAAAAATTCACCCCATTAATGAACTCATATATCTATTAATATTTTTTATTCTTGCGTTAATTAATTATACACTACCAAAAAATAGGATTTTCGCAGCAAAGTTTTATTCTTGCGTCAAAATTATACATCTAACTTCTTCGATTTCTTATATCCATAATATGAAAAAAATAGCCTACACATAATATGAAGATACTAGGTATTGGAGTAATATCTATTAAAGGAAAATTGATTGAATTCAAACTGATTTATAAATTAGATGGTGATAA